ATATATTCACTTTCCAGGTCAGGAATGGATTCTGACAGAGAGTCATCTGTGGCACAGTCCTCCTGAAAGAACAAGCAGATTAGAATAGTAGTTATTCAAATAATGAACCTATAAAGTTTTGCAGTTGGGCTGCATTGCTGTAGCCCACAACAAAATAAAAAAGCATAAATATATACATACCAATTCCTCTTGTGCCTTCCTTTTTCTGTTCATCATCTGTAAAATTCAGAGTAAATTTGAAACATATTGACAATGTTACAGAAAAACTGTTTTAAAGCATACATCAGCTTTATTTTCCTGCATAATGTTGGAATATCTTCAAAGACTATTTAAATTACTTTGAGTTATTTAAATAGAGGCTCACAAGTTAAAGCTAATATTAGCTTAATAGCTTCACAAATACTAATGCTGGAGAATGAGCCAGAGGACTAAACCAGAATTTAGTTTCAAACCAAAACAACTAACTAGTTTCATAAATCTTACCTGGACAACTTTTTTCATTGTCTAATTCAGCTTTCACGGTTCTCTCCTCACCAATTGTGGCGTGGTGTGTTGAGGCATGCATTTAATGCAACATTAGCTGAAGGTGAGCCTCAAGCTCCAGGTGTTATAAATATTGCCTGATCAGTGGGGAGTGGGGATCAGACAGTGTCCATCATGATTCAGAACAGGGCTCAACCACAACAATGTTCAGACAGTTGCCTTTAATGTAACAGCAGGTAAAGTGACACAAACAAGGACAATCCAGATGACATGGTCTGGGTACAGGCAATGGTCAGAAACAGACAAATCCAGCTAAATCCAAAAGTGGCAAGGTCAAAAACATCAAGAACAATCAGGTCAAAAACCAAGAGGACATGGCTGCAGACAAGCTGATGGACTGCCAACCAGCAGTCTGCTAAACTGTGTGAAATTTACAAACCAACTGACCTGTAGAATATAAATATACAGTATATGTTTCAGGAGTTTTTCATCATGTGAATGTTTTGGTTACTCTTGTGCAGATGAGTTGATTCAAAGAAGTCACTGTGGGGAAAGTGGTGAAAAAGGCTATTTATCTGTTCTATTTCTGCTGTGTACATCAGTTGGTTTTAAAATGTCCACCACATGTGTAGATTTGCACATCTTTATCTGATAAGAACTCCACACCTTGCCCTGAACACACTGCTGTTTTATTTGTGGTTTGGAGAAGTGCATGAACACAACATCCTGTACATCAGCAGAACATTTGATCTGGAGCATCTCATTTCTTGCCTAATGCTGCATGAAACAGACTTTTTCTTCCACAAATGCTGTACATTTACTTTTAGCAAATACTTTGGCAAAGACGTCAATTTGCACAGCTTGGTCAAGTTGCCAGGACCAGGTCATTTAAAGATTTTTTAATTGCTAACACATTAAAATGGCATGCTTGGCACAATTTACAAAATGGACACTCAGAAAACGAACCCCCTGCTCAACTCTCCAAGACTTTAAACACATGTTTAAATAATAATGTTTGCACCCATGTTGTAATTTGCAGTTGTTTTAAGTTGCTAACACACATTTATAATAACAGGACTCACTGTCACAAAACAGTTCACAGAACCACACACCCACAGCACAAAACCCCTCACACACCTGCAGAGCACTGCACACAAAACTGCAAAATCACTTATTACATTTTTTCTGAATTGCTAAAACACGTTTCTTAAAACTGTCCTCTTCTAAGTTTGTTCGTGCATGGCGTGACACAAAGAGGTCCCACTCTGCTGCCACTAAGTCCAAGAAGCTCTTTACTCTGCCTGCAGCTGCATCATTTTCAGCCTTTATATGATCCCCAATCACAATGTCACATACTGCCTTCAGCGAGTGTCCTAACTTCAAAGCAAGAGATGGTATGTTATACCTGTACTTGGAGCTGGTGAACCCAGAGGCTTGTTTTTGCTGCTTCCACAGCTAAAGAAAATTTAGGTGGCACCAAAACATCTTGCAGCATCTCAACTTCACGGTCAAGGGACTTGGCAGCAAGTAAAAATCCTCTTCCGTACATTTCTTAAAACCACCACCAGTAATATCAAACTTTTGCACCAAGTGCCAAACACATTATTCACAGTAACTGACCAGTTTCCAGGGAACTACATACTGATGTGCTAAATTCAAAGCAAATCGTCTTTGATGGCCTTTCACTGTAAGAGGGAACACCAATCAGGTTCACAGAAATCTACAGAAACTTTCACCCCAAAAACTATGGTTTTGTATTTTCCTTCACAACAAATTAGTGCTACACATAGCAGAGTGGGTATTGCAGCTGTGCAAACACAAGATATCGGTATGGTAAAACATACACACCCCTTACAGTAAAGGGGAAAATGGTTGCATCATGCCACCCAGCTTGCTCTTGCAACAGCACCTCATCAACACCACAGGCAGTGTCCTCCATGCCACAGCCATGTGAGGGAAGAAACACCTTGAGCCTCAGCAGCTTCACATCACTAGCATTGTGCCTCTTCCACTGCCCCAGCTCGTCCCCCTCTCCCTCTGTTCTGACTTGTACCTCCACCTGCTGGGTCACTGTTCATTGTTGTTATAAACAAGTTACTCACCTGTGGTGGCTTTTTAAAATAGTAGTAACATCCTGATTAACAAGTCAACGATGAAACAGTGAGGTGTTTGGCCAGGTGGCACAAGTATTTTCTAATTGGTTCAGGAGCGTGGCATTTTGAATGGCAGTGTTTTGAAATGGCCAAGCAGTGACTTTATGGCAGATTTCTGTGTCTTATGTAGAGAACTGTGTGTAGTGTTCTGCAAAAACAAGTAGGTTAGGTAGCAACATGGAAGCAAAGCAGAAAATGTGTTTTGAGTTTTGGAGACTTGAGCTGAGTTTTTGCTCCTTGAATGTCCATTTGTTAAATTGTCAGTGTGTCATTTTAACATGTTAGTAAGTGAAAAAACGACAACATAATATTGTGACATGTCCAGAGTTTAACCTCTGGCGGCACCATCAGGGCAAACCTTTTATTCTACCAGCATCCATAACCCCGTTTCTGATTTTTGGTGTGCAATGAACAATACAGCCCCAATGGGCTACCACAGTCCTGTTACAGTTGTGCTCCTGGTACCTCAGAGGGTGATGTAAAGGAGGCAGCAGGTTGTGAAGGTGCAGCAGGTCCAGGAGACTGTCTGAGATGCACATGTCCCACTCAGCCAGACAGCTGCACACTCACACACTTTACTTCACACAAGATCCTCACTCCACTTTCTCTCACCTCCTGTCTTGACCAAGAAAAGGCATCAATTCAATTCATTTTAAGGTAAAAAGTATTAGTGATTATCTGTAGTAAATGTTCTAACCAGCAAAAAGACACCAGCATGACTTTACTGCTGCTATCTTGTGAAAAAGTCATTCTTAATTAGACTAAAACTTAAGCTATAACATTAGAAAGAGTGAAGGAAAAGTGACAGTAATTTGAGGTAATAATCGTTGATAGCTGTTTAGGAGCCTGACTACCTTAAATCATGGCAGATGTGGTTTTCATTGTCGCTCTTATCTCCTGTGAATTCGCCTGCCTGCTTATTGACAGAGGCAGCTAGATACACTCTCACTTCATTATGGAGAGCAGTGACATCAGCAGGTCGGTGGGTTTCCAGGATACCATCCAATTAAAATACAAGAAGAAGAAACAACAGGCTCCAGGTCAGCTCAGAGATAATTGTTTTCTGCCGCTTAGTCTGCTGACACACAGAGAAACAGACGGACAAGCAACTTCACACACAGGGTGAGTCGACCTGTAATTTAGACACAGTGTGAAACCTTCCTACAGAATGACACTGAGCTTTTTTAACATCAGCTGCTGAGGAGGAGGCAAAATGGTCAGTGAAACTTTAAGGTTGTTTTTCACTGAGTTTAGCCTTCCGGGTAGTTTTCCTCTCAACGTGCATACATGCTCTGTTATTTTTTAATTGAAATTCAAAAATACTAATGAGCAACCATGTTCCACCTCATTTTTATATTTTATTACATGAACTATTGGATTGCTGTAGACGGTCATTGGGGTTAAACAACCTGGAAGGCTAAAATCAGGGGGCGGGGGGCAACAACAGTTCAGCTGGTCCCAGGTTCAGGCAGGAGAGGGAGTTATTTAATAATACTGTTCTAAGAGGTGGAATGAACTTTAGTTTAATGGAAGTGCTGAAAAAAAGCTCAGGGGATATAGGGTACAGAGCACTTCTTAGGTTTTTAGAGAGCACAGGGCTAAGCAAGACAATATAATGTGAACTGAGGGAGATTATTTTATTACAGTAGTAGGTAGGAGCCGTCCTGATCCACACTCCAGTCTAGAAGGTGGCGGTAATGTACCTAAAGCTGGTTGCCACCTGCCGTTGAAAAAAAAAAAGGCGATGAAGAAGAAGACTTTTTGAAGAAGCAGAAGAAGAAAAAGAAGACAGTGCTGCTGGATTGGGGATGTTGCTCGTTAGCTAGTCAGCGAATTTTTGGAGTTTCGTCTAATTTATCCCGTTTGTCATTGACGTTAACCTGTGTTGCGCCCCCGTCGACAAACACAAGGTGTGGGTGTAGTTGTTCATTATGCGTAAGAAGCTACATATTTACGAGCGGAAACGTGTAGCTAGTTATGCTAACCAGCGGCGGCTAAAGCTAGCTCGCTAACGTCCAGTGTTTAGCCGACTACGGTATTCACTTCAGCCGTCATGAGAGTCCTGTCCTCCGGTATATATCTTTCATTTTACTGCGACCTTATTGTCCCCGTCGGTGCAGAAGTAACCCACAGTTAAAACCTCCTCCAGCTCAACAACATGACTCACACACAGTGAGCTAGCAGGCTGCTCTTAGCCTAAATTAGCCTGGGATGCTATGCACGCCTACAGCAGCTGAAGTCATGTCTGACCGATGGAGCTGAAGTGTTGCTCGGCTTGCCAAAGATGACGGGCCGCCTGAGCCGGGTTTCTGTGCCTCTGTCTGCAGGAGGCGGAACATGGAATCCGAAGAAGTGTGGAACAAAGACCTGAGTACACACAAAAAGGTGATCTGCAAGCAGAATGGCAGGATCGGTAAGACATGTGTTTCTTATGTCTTCACTGCAGTAAATGATCACAGTTCCCTGTTCAAGCAGAGGCGTGTTTACAGCAAGGTGACCTCTCATCTGCAGGTATAGTGAGAACCCTTCAGAGCCTGTTGAAAACCCAGAACACACTGCAGATTCAGTCCATCGCCCGTTTAGAATGTGCTGGTACGTGAAAAAGTCTCATTTCCAGTTCTCTATAAAGGTTGGTGTGAAATGTGATGATTTTATGAAGGTTGTAGAAAGGCTGCTTTGAAAACTTTAAAACGTTTTCAGAAACCCCACTGCTGTTCTGGAGGTATTTACAATAAACAGGTCCATCTTTGAGTTGTGTTTTTTTTTTTTTTTTTTTTTTTTCAGTATTGTTTATAGGGGTCAAGAAAACCTTTAATACATTTCAGCATTAGTTTTCATATGAATGTACACTCGCCTGCCACTTTATTAGGTACACCTGGTATTAGGTACACCTACACTATGTGCCTCAATGCATCACTTTTGTCTTAACATCTGTGTTTATGAAGCTCAGTGTTTCAGGTTTTGGTGAAATTGTTATAAATGTATAAATTCAATTATATATTTATTATTGAGGTCAGTTAAAAGTGGTGTTTTGCTGGACTACATTCTATTCAAAAGTGTTCCTAATATTCTGACCCTCTCATGTGTGTAGTTGGGGAGGACAAAATCACTGAGACATCTTTTGGTTTGGACTGTAGAGTGGTATATTTTCTTGTCTTAGTGACTTTACCAGACTTTTGGGTATAAAATGACTGACTAGTGTAACAGACACGTTATATGCTATTGTTTGTGAAATGTTTGTTAAGAATAATAATAATAAGGTGTTGTCAAGTGAGAGTCATCACTCAGTGCTGTTGTAAACAGCACGGTCAGCATAAAATAATCAGTATGCATTTATTTTTCCCAGTGTTGCCAAAATGTTTTTCCTAGACGCTCAGGGCTCAGATACATATAACCTCCACTACAGACGGATATCTCTGCCTCAGACATGTCCTCCTGTCTCCCAGGTTCATGTCCAAATCTGATGATGAGTAGGAGCGAGCATGCCGATGCGAGGCCCGTCCCTGTGGCCCTCACCCCCCAGCTGCCCCCCAGAGTTCACCGGCCGCTCTGTGTGTCGGTGTCCTCCGACAGCAGCGGACGCTTCAGAGCTCTGGAGACGCAGGAGTGGAAGAACAACCTGAAAGCTCAGGTGCGTCCACAAACACACTGTATCAGAAACGGCTAAGAGACTGTGTTGAACAAAACTTCACCACATGTCTGTTGTGTTTGTGTTGCAGATGGAGCAGGCTCACAGTGCAGGAGCTGCCAGCAGCACAGGCTCTCTGGAGCGAGCGTCTTTGTTCTGTGCCTCTGCGTCCACTGCGGTGTCCGGCTCTGGCCTGTCCAGCCCGGTGGAGATCCTCAACAAGAGCAAATCCTCCAGCCGCTTCTCTCTCTTCTCTCCACCCTGGAACAGCAGCTCTGAGTCCGATTCCAACCCTCCGTCCCGCTCAGGCTCCAAGAAGCTGCGCAACTACAGCAGGAGAGCAGCCACGGGGCCGGCAGGAGGCAGGGGCCCTGATACTCCTGAGCCCAAATCCAGTGGCCCCGAACACTTCCAGTACTCTGAGCCTGTCATCTCCAAGGTGACGGACTACATCTTTGTTGGCAACCTGAATGCGGCGTACAATGGGCGCACTCTGTGCCGCAACAACATTGACAGCATCATCGACATGAGCAGCGTGCCGGGAGAGCCAGGCCCCAGCCTCAGCCTCATACCCTGCACCTGCTCCCGTGGCACCCGCCACAGTTGGTCTCGCCTCAAGGTGGACATCGGGGACGTGCCGGCCGCCCTGGGCGACGGCCCGGCCCTGAGGCAGCGCTGCTTTGAAGACATCAACGAGTGCATCGACGCCTCCACTGAGAAGAGGAAGCGTGTCCTGGTCCACTGTCGAGATGGCTTCTCCCTGGCCCCGACGTGTATCATCCAGTACCTGATGGTGAAGCAGAACATGAGGCTGATTGCCGCCTACGAGTTGCTGAGGGCTAAGTACCCGGTCAACATCAGGGAGTGCCACCAGAATGTGCTGGTGAGCCTGGAGAGAGCATTGCGGCCCTGTGGCAATGTCAACCCTGAATGCTTCAAACAGGCCATCTCACGCAGAGTAGCGTGGACCTGACTCGGTTTCCCAACATGCTCTTCTGCTGCTCAAGGCTCTCTTTGTCCCTCCATCCTCTCTAGGGCAGCTGTACTTTCCCCTGTAGACTGGTCAACTGGAGATCATCATCCCTGCTTGAGTTCAGTGGTTGTGAAAGTCATGAATTTGATGTATTTCCTCTTCACACCTGTAAATGTGACCTGGCCGTGATGCCCCCCTCCCCCCTCACTGAACAGGAGACACAATAGACTTTGCTCTGTTATACAGCTTCTTGGTATAAAGATGTAATAGTGCTGGCTGTGTGGTTGATCTGGTCCTGCTTCACTTCTGTGCCATGCTGTCGTGGTGGTGTTTTCTATCAGGGGAGTTTCTCAGGAGATTATTGATGTCATTCCAGTACCGGGTGGGAAATGACTCGGTCGAGTCTGCATCCCAGTTCACTGCTGGCACTAAATGCATCTTGGGGATCAGTGTAATAGCACAAAGGGTTATGGTTGACATGAAATTAAGATCTGCACGTGTCTGACGCAGGATGTTTAAAAAACTGGACTTTTCTTCAAACACACTTATGTTTGCAGGATGTTTAAAGGTGACCTGTGGACTTTTCTTCAAACACACTTATGTTTACACATGGTCAACTACAGCTAACACGCACTTCATCTTTGCACCACCTTGCATTTCTCAGCCTTTGTGCCCATGCTAGTTGAACATGAGATGCAAACAAAACGGGGACCTGTGCATGAAGACATCTCTCCATAGCACCACCACTGGTCAGACGGTCCACAGAGTACCATTACACTAAGTCGGTTCTGGGTTGGTTGCAGCAGTTTCACTCTCCCCACAGGTCACATCTAAGTGTAACAGGAAATGAAATTAAAATACAAGAGTCACTCAAGATGCATTTTGTAAACATTTTTGGTGCCAGCTTTGAGCTGCAGTCTGTTGCACACAGTCTGCACAGATTAGACAATGAAGTCATTTGTCATCATTTGGACGGAGGTTTGTTTTTCTTCCTACAAATCTATTTTGCTGGTTGTTTGGGTGTAGTAGCTGTTGTAGTGAGTGGGTAAAAACAAAACTGGTTTGCAGCCCTGTTGAAACCCACACTGAACCTATCACCACTGACTGGATCCCATTACTGATTAATGTGCTTCTATAGCAAGAGGGGACTTTGCACATGAACACACACTCTAAGTGTGAGCTGCTGGTGTTTTGTGTGTGTGTGTGTGTGTGTGTGTGTGTGTGTGTGTGTGTGTGTTTGATGGCAGCTGATCGGCCCGACCTCTCCTCTGTGAGGAAGACTGTAGCCCCATTTTCAGCCACAGTTTGTCTGGTTAAACCTCTCTGGTGGTGCTCAGGCTGTGACTTTGTGAATTTGAACTTCAGTGTGTGCAGTGGAGCTGGATGATGTGCATCTCTGTGGGTTATCAGTATTAGTTGATCAGTGCCACTGAAGTGTGATCTGGGGTTTTTGCACTACTTACAGGGTTGTCCAACATGCAGAGTATTGTCTTTTATTTTAATACTGTTGTTGTTTTAGCATATAACTGGTAACATTTCACACGTGGAAGGGAGAAATGTTAGCTGAGACTTGGACAGTGACCAGATTAAGGCAACAAATGCAGTGTTGACCTGGTTCACAGTTACGTGATTTTCCTGATAAGTTCACATGATTTGTTTGATCGTTACGTTGAGCCACTACCAAGACGAGTGTCAGTGTCGACCTTTATTCATATCATGTACATATATGATTTTCGGCAGGTGCACTTTGGCCATCATACTCCAACTGCACCATAGCGCCATCAGCTGGTGCTCTAGCCACCTGCACGGCGCCCTGTATGTAATGTCTCAGCAGCTCTGGCCTGACCCTGGTTGTAATCAGTCAGTTCATCAGATTTTATTTGTATGACCGTTTTCCTCCGAGCGCTTTACAGACGACTCACAAGTTTAATAGCAAAACAGAAAAAATGTGATGTCAGGCTTTATAAATGATGAAATGTAGGCAATCTAAAAAAAGAGAAATATAATGAAACCTAGTTTAAAGCCAAGTCTATATAAAAATAGGCTTCTACCTAGTGCAGTTCCACAAGTGGTCTATTGCCTTCCTGCCTTCTGAAGATGCAACTCAAGGGAGCAGTGAATTTTACTGCCCTGACAGGAGTTGTGTCCCACTGCTGTTTGTTTAGACAGGTGTGTCAACACACTCCAAGCTAGGTGTGGAAAGCTAAATGGTTAGCCAACTGTCCATTTTTTAAGTTTACTTTGTAGGTAAAGGTTCACGCTAGCTAATGGTTTGTCTTGGCAGCTGTGGGTCAGGTTCACACTAGCTGGTGGTTTAGTTATGCAGCTAAAATGTCTCTGGCAGATTACAGTTGGATTAGCTTCAGTTAAGTAGCTAAACGTTTGGTTCTGGTTAGCTAACGGTTGGTGTGTTCAGTCAGCAAACAACTACCAACTGTCTCTTAAACGAATAATAAATTCTAAGCAACTGTTTCGACATTTCATCACAGATTTTTCACAAATTTTGAAATTCCAAAAAGCACAAGCTAACATCTAAGTGGCATGTAGCGCCGTGTGAGCAGCTTGGTTTTTGTGCATTTTGTGTTGTAATTGAGATATTTCCTTAGGTCGTGGGCAGCCTCAGTGAGAAACAGGACAGTTTTACCAAGAACCGTGACATTAACCCCAGCAGCACAGTTTAGTCGTAGCATGAGCGATGTTGCCGGAGTGGAAGCGAAAGTTTTGGTGCCTTCATCTGGAGTGGTCTCGTGACTGTACTGTGACATTTGCACATTTGGTATCACTTTAACTTCTCTCTGTGCTGTAAAATGTTGGACATTTTCTGATGTTTTAGTTTGGGCAAAAGCTATGAACATGACATTTGTGTAAAGTGGTCCTTGCTGTAATATATTTGCTTCTGTCATTAGTGCACAGTACCAGTGTTTTACTGACGCAGGTGTGATGAGCCTGAAGAGGAGCAGGTTTCTCAGCAGATGTTTTAATGGTCCTACAAGGCACTATAGTAGAGTAAGTGTCTGCATATTTTGTTTAATCCCTTGTGGTAAATGCTCCAAGTCAGAGTCCTCATATCGAGCTGAATAGGTTTTCTAACTCGTTCTCTCAGGTGATTTCTCAGTGGCCCAGAATGTTCTCAATCAATATGATGTTCAGAAATGTGAAGCTGTGTATTTCTCATGTCATGTTTCTTAAGTCAGATATAATTTGTACTGTTGGAATAATAAAGAAGAAGATGTACCCAACAGTTGTTTTGGTGTTAACAAATGATGTACACTATAAAGTGGTGCAACTACAGAGCTGGCACTATCATTTTTTTAACTTTAACATCCTTTTTTTAAATTTATGATGATCGTGCTTTGTTTCTCTGTGTCTGCTGATTTTCCTGTGATTCCAGTTTCCTCCTGCTGTTTTCTCTCCCCAGGCTACCGGCCATCTTCTGTTAACAGCTTCTTAGTAACGTCTGTAATGCATGTCTTAAAAGGCCGCCTTGAAATTCCTCTCTGCCCTCCCACCTGCCGTCCCCTCAGCTTTCATCGCTGCCGTTCCCTGGTCTCCTTCGCTGATAAACTGCCTCATGGCCAGCCTTCTGTTATACAGTGAAGCTCAAGGTGTTCACGTATGACAACAGTGTTTATTGAGTCATATCTTGTTGGTCTTCTTATTTGTCCACTCTAGTTTTTCTCATCTTCACCAATAGGTTCTGTCTTTTGGGGGTTGGGGGGAATAATGCAATCAGTGAAACAATCTGGAAGGCAGGGGGTTATTTGTGATGGTCTGAAAGGGAGGAGATCTCAGGGCAGAGGGGAGGTCAGATATAATCCTTCTGGTGCTGCTGAGCCCATTGGCCTGTGAGAAAGCAGACTTCCATAAAGGGGAAGATGGGGTTCCCTTTGTCTTTGGGGAATGCAATATATACCGACTTATGATGCCAAAACGGAGCCACTACCCAAATCTGCCGCCCGGTTTGGTTTCCCTCTTCAACCAGAAGGTGAAAAATCTTTCTTTTCTCTGCTGCTGACTTTAATTTTATCTTGGCACAAATTTGATTCATACACAATCTTCTTGCTCCTGTTCTGGTGCAGTTCCATAACAGTAAGTGAGATTTTTGTGGTGGTTTTCCTTAAACTCTTCTTGAAGTGAAGTGGTTACTGACATGTTTGTAAAATAAACCAGTTTGTTAGAAACTTGCTGCAGGATGATGGTGATGACGTCGACTGTGGGGTTAATGTGATGTTAATTTTGGGGGTGAAGCTGTTGGAGCTGTAGGTGTAATGAGGTGTGTTTGTGTAAACAGACACCTGGAGCAGGAAAGTGATGGTCCCAGTGTTTGACCTGAGTCATCACAGCTGTGATGTCTTTTAAACACCCTGGTAAAGACGAGTCGGCCTGTACTTCTGTTTGCTGTTTGTCTGGATTGTTCTGCTTGGTCTCTATTTTCAGAGAAGTTAGGTAACACCTCAGTCATGTCAGGCATGTTTGTGCCAACAGAGGAGGTGTCGGGCGTTCCCTGATAATCTTCCAGAAGACATCTCTTTCATGGCAGGGATGTCCACAGGGGGGGACAAGATCCTTGTCCTAATATAGACAAGAGGGTTTTCCCTGAACTGGGCCGCTGCTGTTCGCGTCACGTGTTTCTTCAAAGTGAAGTTATTATTTTAAATC